AACTCCTGAGCTCAAACGATTTGCCCGCCTCGGCCTCCCGGAGTGCTAGGATTACAGGTGTGAGCCACCATGCCTGGCCCCAAGATTACTTCTTAAATTAAAAAAAAGTTGGATATTAAGTTGCGTATCCATATCATGGACATGCATAATACGATTCCATTAAAATACTATGTGTATGTGGTTTTTTCTGTTACTGTGCTACTGTTTAAAGACAGGAGTTTTTTTTGAAGATTTGTGTTTTTTTACAATGGGTGCTTAATACAAATGCAATTTGGAAAATTCAAGGAAAGAAAACAACACGGTGTACAGAGAGGCAACCCTAAGCCACCTGGTCCCGCCCAGGCCCCCTCCTGTTCCCGCTGCCTTCAGGACGTACCTGAGGGCCTGATCCGGTGACCGCACAGTCCCACCAGGGCCTCCGGGTTGTCAAGAAACCTGAAGGGACAGAAAGACATGTGAAAGGTCTTTTAGGGAAAGGAGAACAGCCTTTTAAAAGAGAATGCCTAACATATGTACAGTTGGTTCTTGTTATTCACAGTCGCTGTGAACGCTGAATTAGCCAATCCAGAACCGGCGCTCCCAGGGGAAACACAGCATTAGGTTCCTGAGAGCCTCTGCTCACATTTCATCAGCTGATCAATACGTAACCTTGTTTCAGGTGTGCTTCTGGTGAAAGACGTCTTATTTAATAAATATTGTTAATTCATTAGCATTGAACTCTGTTTTAATTTAGGATCTTTAAGATGGAGAGGGCCCCTTTGATGATTAGGGGAGACATGAGATGGAAATAAAGATTTTATTACTTACAGGTCCTGGCGGGTACACAGCACACCCGGAAACCACACACACACACACACACACACACACACACACAGGGGTCAGAGAGTATGTTGGGGAGCACCCATGGGCCAACACCTTTATTGGGGTCCAGGGTATTATCCAAACAGGTTTCCTGGGGGGAGTTTAGTTGGCGGGTTTAAAGCATGCTGGCTTACAGGCTTGAGTGCCAGGTCATGCTATGCCCGAGAGGTGGTCACTGAGGCCTATCTGCACGGTCCACGTGGGCCACGAGGACCAGCAGGGCTGTCAAGTAGGCTGCATTGAGCTGTCCCGTAGGGAGGGGGTCACCAGGTGGCAATGGTATAAGGCAGGTATCTGGATCAACCACAATGAGGAACTGGGAGACGTGGAACTCGAAACTGTGTCAATGGTGACTAAGCCCTTCCCCTGGTATGAGAAAGTCCTACTACTATTCCAATGGATGCTGAGGCAGCAGGAGATGATAAGAGTTCACGGCCAACAGCACGGTAACTCAGGCCCGACCAAAGCTGATCTAACAACGTGTTATCAGTCTCCTTGTGCCCAGGAACATCAGACAGCACCTCAGCACTGCGCTAGGCAGCCATTTGAAACAGCACAGCACCGACGAGAAGCACAAAAACGGGAAAAGTGCAGCATTAGCTAGACAGTGAAAAGGACACTTGTTTATAGTATGACAGCCGAAACGAGGAGGCGGAGTGCTGCCTGGTTCCGCCCGCAGCTGGGAACTTGTGCGTCGGGTGACTCAAATCTGTCTCTACTCTGTGTGTGTCTGCAAATGACCACAAAAGCACCGCGAGAATTGATTTTGGGATTGCAAATGCTTTCAGGGAGTAGGAGAATTCACAAATAGGGAATTTGTGAATAATGAGCATCAACTGTATACACACACACACACACACATACACACATACGTGTACACACAAACACATGTACATATACATATATACACATACACAAATAAATACACATGTACATATATACCCATACACACACGTATACATATACACACATACACACATAATACAAACACACACACACATCCCTCTTGGACCGCTCAGGAGAATGGGACTTCGTCTGCTGCCTCTGCTCCATCCTGAGCCCCAGCCACATCATTGCTTCTCTGGCCTAGCCCACCAGGCTGGCTCTCACCACCCACCCAGTCACTGGGCACCCTCCTTGCCTTCACTGTCCCCAGCCCCACCCTCCTGCTTCCCAACTCTCTCTACCTTTCTCCCCCTGTCCCATGGCTCTGGGCCCAGCTCGGACCTCATCCTCTCTCCCACCCTCCTGTGCACTCCCATATGGCCCCAGAGGGTCTTTCTACGCCCAGAGCTGCCCCTGCTGCTCCCGGCTCCCAGCGCCTTGAGGGTAAAGACTGACACACATGGCCACCTAGCCACCCTCTGGCTTCGTCTCCCCCACTCCCTCCTCCCATGTCATGCTCCAGCCACACCAAACTACCTCTAGTCCCCAGCAGGCCACGTGTCCACTCACATCCTCCCGCCTCTGCACTTGCTGCTCCCGCTGCCGGGGGCGGCCTTCCTCGCCCTGCCCTCTAACAGCCCCGGCACGTGGCTGTTCCCCCTTCAAGACGCAGCTCAAGGGCTTGGTCTCCAGGGAAGCCTTCCCCAACCCCTCCAGGCAGGGGAAATCGACTCCTCCCAGGTGCCTGTGTACCCGTGGATAGGTCTGCTGACGCCCTACAGCAACCGTGTGTATGGGAAGTGACAGTTGAGACCCTCTCTCCTCCCAGCGACCTCAGGCTGTGTGTGGCGAGTAACTGAGTGAGCAAGTGATGGTACAAGAGTTGTGCCATCAAGAGGTTGCACGAGCAATTCTGCCACCATCGCCGTCTGTCCACTGGGATCTCCCCGACCAGCCAGTCACAAATCTGACTCATAGACATGCTCTGCCCAGCAAGGGGCCTTGCACGCCAGAGAGCCTTGGGAATGCAAACTGCCTCTCCTCTTTTATTCAATCCTTCCTTCATGAACTGGAAAGTACAAAAAAATGATTAAATTTCTGAACAGAAAAAGGCCACGCACACCAGTACAACGTCCTGGCTGCGGACGCATCATGGTGGCAGGAAACGTGCACGTAGCAACATCGCCCCCTCGTGGTCCTTTTGGTTATGGCCTCCAGTCGCCAACAGAGGCTGGGCGGGGGGCAGGGCAGGGCGTCTGGGGTACAGTATCATCACCAACTCTCCCTGGAGCACTTCCATGTGCCCGGCCCTCTACAGCGTGGTCAGGAGCTGGGGCTCTGGAATTACTGTTATCCGTGCGGATACCATTGCTACTAAAATCATTATCATGACTTAATTTATTTACCCTGCGCCACCCACGCCGGCAGTGCAGACCTTTTGTGAAGCACGTCACATTCATCCAAAGTCCCTTTAGGTGGGGGAGATGTGAAAAGGGTGATGTAACTGTTCTTACGAGCAAGGGGAGCTGGAAGATTCAACCCCGAGGAGCCTCAGGGGCTGGTCTCCCTGCCGAGAGTGGAGAGCAGGAGGTACCGCTGACTCTCATCTGGGTCTCCAGCACCAGGACTGGCACGTGGATGCCCTCAGGAAGCAGGGGCTGAGTGAATGAATGAATGAATGAATGGACAGTGCAATTATGTGCTGTCCTGTCTGCCTAGAAATCTTGCCTCTCCTGTGCCTGCCTGGGAGGCTCTTGTGCTCTCCACAGCCTGGGGCCAGCCATCCCCTGGGCAAAGGCTTCCAGCAGCCGGCTGCAGGGTCACGTGCCTCCCCTCAGCTCCCAAAATGCCCCAGGCGCCTCCGCCCTCACGGGCAGCCCCTGCTTCCCGGGTGTCTCCTCCCAGCCTGGGAACCCCCCGCACTGGGGCTGCATCTGCCTCGCCTCCGTGTCCGCACGGAAGCCGAGGCTTGCTCCCGCATTCACTTCCTGGTCACTCTTTCATTCCGCAACTATTTCTTGAGCACCCAAGATTCGTGCTGTCTGTTGCTGGGAGACAGCCCAGAAGGATGGACCCAGAGAAGGACGTGTGTGCCGCCCTTGCTGTCCTGCCTTGGGACTGCTAGAGAGAGAGGAGTGAACCGCTCCTTCATTTAAGCTGCAGTGGTTTGGGGTCTCCTTGGGAAACAGCCCGGACTGTCCCTAACTAACCCAACAGAGCGGGTAAAGGGGCACTTAGCAAACTGCTTTAGCCTCAGGTTGTGTGTTAACCCTACCTGTGCTACTAATGCTGTGACTGTTTTCACCGGGCTTCATTTTGACAGTAGAAAACCAGCACCACCTGTCACGACTTGAAAATAAGTGTAAAAAAAGTTCCAAGAAAATAGGGCAGTGGACTTGTGTTCTAGTGGGTTCCGCTAGGCTGGCCTCCAATGCAGAGGTTGCCTGTGGAGGCCTGAGAGCTGAAGGCCTCTCTCTGTCTCTCTATGAAGAGATGTTCGGAGCATGTCAGGGCTATGCTGAGACATCCTCCTTGCCACTGTTTAAAGCCTCATCGCCCCATGGGGGCAATTCACCTGTCATTGTTGCCAGAGACTTTCCCTGGACATCAAACCTAAAAGCCTGCTGCACACCCACACTGTGACGGTCTCACTGGTGGACACCCAGGGGTCGGCTCCATGGCCCCCATCGGTCTGATCTCTGGCATGCTGCGTGTTCAGCCTGTAGCTCTGTACTGTCTCCCCCACCAGGGTGTGAGCTCCCCGAGGTCAGGGATTTTTGCCTTGTCTACTCCTGTGTCCCCAGGGACTAGAACAGAGCCTGGCACACAGTAGGCGCTCAGTAAGCATGTGTTGAGTGAAGGCAGGCTGTATCCAGGCACCACCAACCCGCCCATGATAAGGCTTCTGTGCTTGGGAAAAGGCATTGAGGTGAGAGGGGCTGTCTTTGGAGTTGAGCGGCCTGGGTTTGAGCCCAAGCGCCTCTCCTCAGCAGCTGTGTGACCTGGGCTGACTACCTCAGTCCTCTGTGCCTCGGATGATAAGAGCACTCAGCTCAGGTGTTCTGCGGATGACACAGGGAAGTACTGGGTGCAGTGCCCAATGCAGACAAGGTCACTATAGGCAGGCCAACACGGTGGGGACACATCCCTTCCTCTGAGCAGGTACAAGCAGGAGATCTGACGTAGTGGGATGAGGAAGGGCTCCCTGGGAGAGTGACAATTAAGCTGAAACCTGGAGGAGGATGGAATCCAGGGCACGGTACCATTTGTGCCAATCGAACACATACCCAACATCACGCAGTCTTCCAGGACATGGATACATCTACACAAACTTAGGAGAAGTACTCAGAGACAGTGAAACAGCAACGTAGCTAAAGTTTAAAAACACAGCACTGAATGAAAGCAAGAAACAGAATGGGATTTAGAGCGTAGTACCATTTATGCAAATTAAACACACACGGTACCATCAGGTATTGTTCAAAGACACCCATGTCTATACAAAACCGATGTAGAGGTAGGAGTCAGAAACGGCGAACTCAACGCACGTGTAGAGATGTGGTTAAAGTTGAAAAGAGCCAGAAACAGGTAAGACACAGAGCAGAGCATCATTTATGCAGATCACACACAGCAACACTATGGAATTTTAAGGATACAGATACACCTAAGTGAACATATCAGTAGAACATACATTAAGTGTGTCTGAGTGGCTGTCCATGACTGAGAGAAGGAAGGCGGGAGATATAAAGGGGGTGGAATAAAATAAGAAAGGCTCGACATGAACAAGTGACAGGGCAAGCTAAAAACTGGGAAGTATGACGGACTCAATGCTGTTCACTGGAAAGTTCCCTCTTCCCCCTCCATACCTTTTCCCAGATAATCTCGTCCTCTCCTGGGGCTTTAGTTGACAACTCCTGAGATGTCCCTGAGGCCTGAGGTCCATTTAGACCTCAGTCCTCCAGTCCGGACGTGGATAGCCAACTGCCTCGCCGGCAGCCCCTCCTGGATGCTCTTCGGCAGACCCTCCAAGTCCACACTAGATGCGGGATCCCAACCTCTGGACCTGCGGGGCTTCCCTGTAGCCAGCTGCCTGCTGTCCTTGGTGCTGAACCCACACCCCCTGTGCTTCCCTTTGTGGTCAACAGCCCACTGTCCTTGGTGCTGAACACCACCCAGAACCTCCCCGCGTGTCCCCTGCCCACTGTGCTTGGTGCTGAGTGGTAAAACACAACTGGCAGGACCTAGAGGTTTCACACGCAGAGGCAAGGGCATTGATGCTGGTGGCATGGACACTGGGTGGCTGGTGGTGCCAGATGCGGAGGCAGGGCCCGGGCCTAACCTGCTCAGGTCGCTTACATGTTTGTGAATAAAGGGATGTGTCATGACGACCTGCACACAACGAGCACTTTCTACGGGCCAGGCCCTGTGCTGAGTCCTGTGAGTACCTGACTCCCCCAAAGCCTTCCAGAGCCCTGGGAGGTGGGTGCTAATGGGACGCCATCTCACAGAGGAGGATACTGAGGCCGGTGGAGGTTAAGCTGCTCACCCAACGCCCACGGTGGTGGCTCCAGAGCCCGTGCTCTTGCCCGCTGGAATGGACAGTGGAGCATACGCCTGAGAATCCAGAGGCCTCTGGCTCTCTCAAATGCTACCTCCCCTTCCTGCCTGCTCCCTGTTGGGTCCTGGGCTCCTGCCCTGCCTGCAGGGGTGCTGGGCCAGCGCTGGGCTCCGCTGACCCCCAGACTCACTTCTGCTTCTGCTTCATGATATCCTCAGTGTTGGGAAGGCAGTTTGTCCACGGCAGAAACCCACAGAGCCACTTCAGCATGCAGTATCCCAGGGTCTGGAGGTCACTGCGGCGGGAGGGCCCTGGGGAGGGAGAGGAAGAGGTGGCGGCTCAGTCTAGATGCTCCGCTCACTGGCAGGCCCGCCCCTTTCCTTTCCTCTCTCTTGCTGACTCAACCACGCACTGGTGCCTGCAGCCGTTCAGCCGCATGGGCTGTCCCGCCCGTTCAATTTCCATTCGCTGTCTCTCTCTTTCTCTCTCTCTCTCTCCTCTCTCGTTCCCTCACTCTTCGCTCACTCAGCCAGCCCCTCGCCCGCTCTTTCACTAGCGTACCCCGCAGCACCTCTCATTCACGCGCCATTCAGCGCCTCCTCTGTGCCCGTGTGCCAGACCCTATCTCGTGTTCTGAAAACCCAGACAAAAGTGGGGTTGGGTCCCAGCCCTTGACAGTCTCAGGGAGAGATGGTTACAGTGCAGGATTACCTGAGCCACAAAGGAGACAGAACAGGACACGGGGGGCCCGGAAGGATGGGTACCAAACACAGCCTCAGTGGGGGAGGTGGAGGAGACTAGGAGGCTTTGCTTTCCTCACGTCTCCTAAATCACAATTTAGACAACCCTGTGCAAGCATTCAGTACACCCTGAGTTGCTGACTGTGCTGACCTTCTGTCCCTGGATGCTGGGGACAGAGTTGCCCTCCCTGGCCTGGGGGAGCTGAGCCTGGTGGGTGGGTGTGGGCAGGCACATGGATGGCCATGATATAAAGGGATTTCAGAAAGAGGGGCTCAAGGGATCTGCCCTGGGACCTCTCCCCACTTTGTACACTTTCCGTAGATAATCTCATCCTTTCCTAGGGCTTAGGCTGATAACTCCCGAGATCCCACGCCCCCATGTCCGTGCCCCCACGCTCCGGATGTTGAGACAACCACCTTCTCAGCAGCCCCTCCTGGATCGTGCTTAGGCAACTCTCATCTCCCAAGTTTACACCAGACCCTGAATCCCAACCTCTGGAACCCAGGGCCCCCAGTGCCCAGCCTCCCTGCTGTCCTTGGCGCTGAACTGCTGCCCCATAGCCCCTTCAGTGGCCAGGATGCTGTTCATGTTCCCAATTCCTTAGCACGGTACCCTTAGCCCCTCTTCTGTGTCTGGCGCCTGCTGTTTGTGGTTGGGAACCCCTAGAGCTGCCCTTGTGTGAGAAGCTTGTCTCCCTGCACTGAACCCCTCCTCTGGCCGCATACCGCATCCCTTGTGCAGGTCCATGCTAATGAACTCGAGGTCCCCCTCGTGTGGGCTCCTGCTGCCTTCTGTGTAGGCCACGTGTTTGCCACTCGGGCAATAGCGGAAGGTGAAGCCATAGCCTGCCAGGGTCACCTGTGGACATGGGAAAAAGCCATACAGATTGCAGGTTAGAGGTATAGACTCTGCAGTCAGAGATTTCTATCGTGGCTGCAATTTGAAACAACCCATCCATTACAGATGATATTAACTTATAAAACTAAGCCATGCTCATAGTAAAAATGCCAAACACTATGGAATGGTGTGAAAAGAACCCAAACCAGTCACCCACATTTCTTCGCAGTCTCCCAAACCCAGAAGTAACTGCCCAGAAGTAACCATCAGTAACACTTTCTTATGCATCGTTCTAAATCATTTTCTTTAAATACCCAGGTAAACATATGTGGACGGGGAAGGGGCTCGTTTTGCATGGAGACATCACACTGTAGCTCCTGTTGGGCACCCAGCTTTTTGCACTTTAATAGTGGTTCGGGCATTACCTCTGGAGCCAGATGGCCGGGGTTCAAATGCCAGCTCAGCCTTTCGGTGGCCATCCAACCTTGTGCAAGTCACGGAAGTTCTCTGTACTTTGACTTCTCCATTTGTAAAATGATAAAAATGATAGTTCCCACCTCAAAGGATTGTCATGAGGTTTAACCGAGCGCTTTGGTTTGGATGTTTGACTTCCTCACATCTCATGTTGAAATCTGGTTCTCGCCGTTGGAGGTGGGGCCTAACGAGCGGTGTCTGGATGGCGGGGCGAGTGCCTGACGAGCAGATGCACGCTCTCCCTCAAGGGTGAGTTCGTTCTCGCTCTATCGTTCCCAGGAGAGCTGACTATTGCAAAGATCCTGCCCTCCCCACCGACTGCCTCCCACCATGCAATTTCTGCACATGCCGGCTCCCCTTCACATGGAAGCAGCCCAAGGCCCTAGCCAGATGCCGAATCTTGAACTTCCCAGCCATCACAGTCATGAGCCAAATAAATCTTTTTTTCTTTATAAATTACCCAGCCTTAGATGTTCGTTATAGCCACACAAAACAGACTGAGACACTGAGTTTAAAACAAAAAGTAAAGTTGCTTGTGTCAGATACACAAAGTCAACCACATCTTTTTAATGGCTACATCTTATTCTACCATGTGGCCAGGGGACAATTCTTGGTTTTGTCTGTGCAAGACCTATATCCCCCCTTCTTCTAGTAGTTTGTGATGGTTGATTTTATGTGGCAACTTGACTGGGCCATGGGGTGCCCAGACATTTGGCCAACTCCGTTTCTGGGTGTATCTATAAGAGTTTTCTGGATGAGATTAACAACTGAATTGGCAGACTGAGTAAGGCAGACTGCTCCTCTTAACGTGGGTGGGCCTCATCCAATTGAAGATATGAATAGAAGGAGAAGCTGAGGAGGAGGGAACTCCTCCTACCCGACTGCTCACCGAGCTAGGACATTGGTCTTTTCCTGCTTTTCCTGAATGGAAACATCAGGTCTTCTTGGGTCTTGAGCCTGCTGGCCATACACACCCCCGCTGGTTTTGTTTCTCTGAAGAATCCCAACTAATACACAGTTCTGGCATTTTCCTCTGAGACTGTCCCTCCCCAACTCTCAGTCCATGCAGTTCAGGTGGGGTTTACCTGATCTGTTTCTAATGGGGTTGCTGAGCTTTGGGGATTTAAGCCTGACTTTCTGGTGGCAATTTTGTCACCATGAGGGAAGAGTCTGCCTGACAATGAGTAACGCAGAAGCAAGAAGAGCACAGAGATGGAAGAGCCAGCTTCCCAGTGACTGGGATTGAGTTCCTAGATCCAGCCATGCCTGAACACAGTAAAGTCCTGAATTTTTCCATTCCATGGACTAATAAATTGCACACCCTCCTTTTGTATTTTTGCTTAAGCCATGTAAGTTGGGTTTCTGTAATCTGCAACTGAAAGAATAATTAAAAATTACTCTTTAATTAAAATACTATTTAATCAGTATCCTACTGGGACTATATATTTAGGGTGTTTCCCATTTAACTACTACGATCAGTGTTATCAGGAATATCTTGTACATATATCTTTGAACAGCCCCATGAATATACGGGTAGGATACATTCCTAAAAGAGGAACTGATGATTCAAAAAATTGATGCATTTAAAATTGTGATTTTTATCTCCAAATTACTCTCCAAAAAGTTGCCCAATTCACACTTCCAACAGTGTATGAAGAATTCCTACTTCCTTACATCCTTACCCGTAATAGATATTATCATTTTTCCTAATTCTGCTCATTCAAAGGGTAAAAAACAGTATCTTAACTGCATTTCTATGATTATTAGGGAGGTTGAGTCATCTTTTCAAATATTTAACTAACCTATGGATTTCTTTTTCTATGAACTGCTTTTCCTATCCTTTGCCCATTTTTCTATTAAGTTCCTTATCTTTTCTTATTTATTCAAAGGAACTCTTTATATATGATGAATAGCAATCCTTTGTCTGCAATAAGCACTGTGAAATAAGTAGAGGTTTAGAGTCAGATGGAACCTGAGCTCAGAGACCTTCCAGAGTGGGCAGGACCTGGCTCTTACCTGACTCAGATCCTGTGGATTCACAAAGATATTCTCGGCTGTCACATTTCCATGAACGTACTCGTTCTCATGGAGGAACTCCAGGGCATCCAGCTAGGGGAAAAGCAAGCAAGCGTCTCCATCAGCAGCATGATTAACATGAAGAGGCTGTGATGCAAAGCTGGGTGAGGGAACCCCCGCTGTTAGGCTTGGGGTTGTCTGGCACCGTCTGTGACTGGGGGATTAAGCCTAACTCTGGGTGTAGCATTAGGAGGCCCTCTGTGACATCGCACCTAAGCACACCTCTAATGAGGCTCTCAGAGGGTGCAGCAGTCAAGCTAACACGCGGCTTTCCATCTACCCCCTCTCTCTCTCTCTTAGTTGACCACAAACTCAGGAGAGGAAGAGTGATCCTCTGCAAAAATGACCTAGCACCCATGTACATCAAAGAGTTCTTCTCATTTCTCCTAGGGAGCAGAAATAAATTTAGTTAAGCAATTTATATCTTTATTTCCAGCTCCAATTTTTCTACTGAGTGCCAGACTCCTGTACTAAACTGCCTGGTGTGAGCTACATCCTGGTTATAGCCCCGGGCCCCTCCTTGACCCCAGGGCTGAACTGTCTGCCAAGTTCTGCTTGTTCTACTTCTACAAACTCTCCATCCTCATGGCCTGGGACCATCCTCAGGCCTCCTCCTCTCCCACAGGACCCTCACTCAGCCTACAGTCTCTCCCCTCCAGTCCATCCCACATGGCCCCTGAGGGTCTTTCTGCCCCAGAGCTGACCTGTCCCTCCTCCTCTCTCAATCTTCCCATGGCTCCCCAGCACCTTCAGCACAGGGTCCCAGCCCCTCAGCCTGGTGTATGAGGCCCTGTGTGAGCTGGGCAATGCTGACCTCCCCACCTCCACACCATGCAGCAGACACTCGGAACACGAAGACTCCAAGACTCCCCTAACATGTCACTCCCACGGCACATCTATCCCTCCAGCAATTTACTGGGTGCTCTTATTCTCCATCACAGCAGGGGGACATTTCTATTCAGAGTACTTGTCACAATCTGTGCAACTGTTTATTTAATAGTGTCCTCTCCCACTAGACTGTGAGCTCCAAGACGCAAAAACCATGTCTGTGCTGCTCCCTGCTCTACCCCCAGCCCCTGGGACAGCGTGGCACTCAGCAGGTACCTGATAAGTACTTCGTGAGAGGATGAATGACTAAATGAATATTCTGAACAAATGTGTTATGTGCTCTCTCCCTTACAAGCCTTTGGCTCAGCTGTATCCTTGGCCTGGAATATTCTTTTCCCATGTACTCCCACTCCTACTCCACCCAGCACCTTGCTATTTCCCACTGGTCTTGCGAGTGTTGGCTTAGAAACAACCTCTACCAGGAAGCACGATCGGAGCCTTCAGTCTGAGGCTGGGGCCCCTTCCTCCATGCCCACAGCCCCCGAGAGCCCTCCATGGCAGTGCTCGTCACCCGGTTCTAACCGTCTGCCTGTGTCAGCGTCCAGCCCCCAGTGTTCAGCGGGCGGACGTGGGGGCTGGATGTCAATGAACAAACAGCCTGATGAACTAGGATCTGATGCGCCCTCCAGCATGTGGGAGCTGAGCAACTTTTCGGTACATACCAGCCGGCAGGCCACCTGCAGCACAGACCTCTCTGACATCACGTGCTTCGGGTTGTCATCCAGGGCTGACTGAAGGCTCCTCCCCAGGCTGGGGAACACCAAGAACCTGAAGACATGAGCATCACAGGAGGTGGGAGATGAACAGGGAGGGGAACAGTCCCCCAAGGATGGAGGGTGGCGGAGCGGTTGCAAGGTCTTGGTCCCAGATGAGATTAAGGGCTGACTGGTTTGGTACCAGCTTGGCTCAAAACTGGGGAAAGGAAGGAAGCAACTAACCGGCCAGTGGCTCCAGGCTCCCAGCCATGTCCAGGCACAGGAAAGGGAGAGAAAGAAAGGGGCCAGTGACGGGGGCAGCGAGTGAGGTGGCTCACCTGTACTTGTCCTGGTGAACACCGAAGCCGATGCAGGTGGGGATGGCCAGTAGGGGGGCTGAGTACAGCTTCTTCCACTTGCTCACTGTAGGAGGCAGGGGCTTGTGATTAGAGCCCACCCGGCCCCAGGCCCATGGCAACAATGGCTCATTCTCAGACCACAAGCAAAGAGTGCCCAGACCAGACCCTGGGTCTCCTTGTAGGAGATGACATCTTTGCGGGTAGGTGACAGTGGGACAGTGGTTATGACAATGTCAGTGGTCCATGTCTGCAGGTGACTTCTGAGGAAACATACACAAATCCAGAGTAGGTGGGAAGGCTAAGAATGACAGAGTAACTTCCAAATTCACACGTACAGCTGATGAGATCAATGACTGTCCAAACTGGCCATGATG